GGTGAGGAATACTGATGAAAAGTTACCTCCCCCAGATGGCGGCCATATTGGGCGTGACATCTGGCAGAGGGTCTCGCGGCCGCTCTCGCCATTTTATTACGCCTGCACTCACTACGTACAGCGGACTCTCCCCACCTAAAACCTGTCAGAGCCTCTGCGGAGGAGAGAGCCCAAACCACACTTAAGCTTTCTTTATTTTTTATTCAGTGAATTTAACTGTGATCTCACGAAAATAAGACAAGCAAGAAATCATGACTAGACATATATACTTTTTTTTGGTGTTCGACAATAAAATTAGACAGGTTGAAAACTGACTCGTCCCAAACCGTCTCTGAGTGTCCGACGGGGGCGCGAGTCGACTGGGGGAAAGTGATAAAGCAGGGGTTGATAAGAAGGAAGAGAGACGTGGTCCCGCGCCTTTCATCCTTCCCACAGTCTATCCATTTCCACATCAGGGAGTTGTGAGTTTGCACTGATAGAAATGTTTCACTTTGCCAAGAGATATAAAAAATAACGGCTTTATGCCAGGCTTGATGCATCAGTACGACATGCTGAGATATGTGAATAACGTGTAAATAACGGGCAAAAATTGTGAATTTTCTTGAAAATTGGTCAGACTCCACAATATTGCGAATAATTCTGCTTTATGAGAATGTAACCCCCCATGACATAGCGTACAATGCGCATTGCACGCACCTGGAATATGGACAATATGAATCAAGGATATGCTAGAAAATTTATAATTTTCTTAATTTTTTTGAAAAAATTTAAACTAAAAGGGTTTTGGCTTTTTATTTCTTTTCATTTGAACAGGGTTTATTCAGGTTTTTCGGAAAAACGTACCAAATGCGTCCAAACCCATGAAAAAAAGGCTAAAACTAGCGGTTTAATTTGGGTCATTAATCGTTACGTGCTAATTAATAGCAGCTAACCATGGAAGGCCCAAACAATTGACAGAGTTTCCTTGTTCCACTCGACCAGTTTTCAGTGTTGCATATATTTCACATTTAACACTTATTGTGATCACACCTTGATTAACTCTCGATTCTTTCTCCTGAGAATATTCCATCTTATCCCACCTTATTCCACAGTTTCAGCCCCCTCTGTCATGTTTTGTGTGTGTTCTGCGAAACCCCTCCAATTATTCAGGACGTAGATAGGTGATTAAAAGTACATTTTTTTACTTCGAGATGCGCACATATCTTCTCACTCCAGGCAAATAACCCTGACGCGGGATGGCATAATTATAATCTTGTTTTTTATTCTATTTAATCCAGATCTCGCGTGCCGCGGTTATCCAATCGGTATGGAGAACGGAAAGATCGCGGATGACAACATCGTTGCGTCGTCATGGCAGGAACCTTTCCACGCCTTCCGACCTGAGGCGGGCCGCCTTAACAATGATGACGGTGTTTGGTGCCCAAACACTCTAGGGGAAGCGGATAAGGAGTATTTTCTTCAAGTGGAGTTTCCGGCTAGATACAACGTCTGTGCCGTCGCTACTCAGGGCTCCCCTCTCCACAAGACCGACTGGGTGAAGAAATATCGGATTCAGTACTCCGTGGACGGCGAGAACTTTACGCTGTATACTGAAAATGGAACTGTGAAGGTATGGTGGGTGAATTCACAATATGTAGGTGGGGGCTGAAGCACCAGTTCTCGCTGAGAAAATTGTTCCTAAGATAGATTGCAAAGCAGACAAACACAGCAGGCGCATAGAACCAAAACAGTGAAGAGGACATTAGTGACGGATTTAAGGAACCGACTCGTGGCCTTCATATAGTTACTGTAGTTACGGTACTGCGGTGATTTAATGAGCCAGGAAAACCAGGAGGACTTCATATGCATGCTCGGGCATGTCTCATAATAAAATTATACCTATATTACATACAGCAAATGTAATCCTTGCTACTGTCCGTCTAGAAAGCAGAGTGTTTTCCGAGTAGCTTGTGTTAGGACTTATCAACATCTTGAACATAGTTCTATCACGCTTAACATATAACATTCTTGCCTTTTACACTGTATGGCAAGTCCTTTGCGAGTGAAAAGTCACGTTTCACCACCAACACTTTTATAATAATACACGTCTTGCAATAATGTACACGGTTGTTTTTCTTGCAGGAATTCACAGCTAACACTAACGCAAATGACATGGTGAAGAATGATTTAAACCGACCAATTACAGCACATTTCATTCGGTTCCTTCCGGTGGAATGGAACTACAAACCCTGTATGAGAGTTGAGCTGTACGGAACTGCTATCGGTAAGAACAAAACTCACTTTACTACCTCTTTTAGACAACATGTTTGCTTAGGTGTTTGTTGGGTGCTTAAAACCTTCCTGTACTTCACACTTCCTCGGTATTCGTATTTTCTCCCTCTGATGATGACGCAACGATGACCAAGCAAAAGAATTTCCTTGTCCTGTCTTTTTTGATGTGATATTGCTAAGGAGAGTACGTATACACTGTATTTCGTGTTTTGCAGCTTGTCCGTGGAAAGCCAAGAATGACAAATGCTGCGTATTTCCTTTCACGTTCAAAGGAAAGAAACATTACAAATGCATCATAGATTGGGTGTGGATGCCTTGGTGCGCTACAACGTCAAACTTTGACAAGGACGGCAAGTGGGAAAACTGCCTTCCAAGTACGTATTATGCTCTTTTTCATACAATTTTCAACTGCAACTTCCAAGGTGTAGTCACTGCGGTTTTACAGACTGTTTTACTTCAGAATCACTTTCCCGGGAAAATATTATCTTGGTCAGCATGAATGATATAATATAATTCATGAAAACATATGATCTCTCGCTTTAATTTTGCTTCATTTCGTTATATTTACATTCGTTTTTCTTCGATCATTGCTGAAAGATTTGAAGACGTTGATTATTCTAAACACTAACGACACTCTTAGTAACCAAGACTAATTTTCTTGACAGAAAGCAAGCAATAGAGTGAGCCAGGGAAAAACTAAAGGAAATATCAAATGGATACTAAACTTCTGTAATTTGGTTGGTGAAGGAAAATTTGACTTAGAGATAATAAAAATACGTCAAATGCAGGCTGTGTTGACTTCACTGTTTTGGTAACCTGTCAGGAGGAACAAAACCGAACGATGATTTGGAAACCATTCATATGGAAACACGTTGCGCCTTCAGGTTCATTTTAATTTAAATTGAAATTATTTTTATTTGAAAGGTTTTCCATAAAGACTCGTTTGAAACAGAGGCACAAGGACTTAACAATGGCCTACTGATTAAAACGTGTTGCACGAGTTTTCTGGACCAGTCAAAACACAAAGAGGAGGGAACACACGTGTTCAAATGACATTAAATTTCGACAATGAAAACGCTATTGGGAGCTTGTGCGCAATACATTTGTTTCGACAAAGATTGTCCCATGAAAGCGTAAAAGCGTACAGAACAACGTGGATTGGTATTAAGGGTCGTAATAATTTGGCGTTGCTTAATTGAGGTTCACAGTGTTTCAGCAAGCAGGAAGAAACACACGTGTTGGCGCTGTTTCCTTCAAGCCGAAACACCTTGAGCTTCAATCAAGCAACCGTAAACCACCATTGCCTATAATACCACAGGGGCTTTCAATTTACGCTTTCGTACAGTACAACTTTTCTATAAACAGCTGTACACTGCCCTGGTGTAGCATGGTCTACTGTTTCAGTTTGAATTGAGGTCGCTACAAATTAACTGGCTTGCATAGCTCTAAAGCACCACGTCCTGGTTCGGTTTGTATAACCTCAGCACATCTGTTAATTTAAAGCCATAGTAACATGGATTATTAAATAAAACTTCTCCTTTATTAACCTCGTAACAAACCATTCATCGAGAAGCTCAAAATTAACGATTACCGCTATTTAAACCCAGAAAATTGCTGTTTTTTGAAGCAACAAAGCTAGAAGGCGTCAGTCGTTTTTCCGACCATTCCCTTTAGACAAGTGAAAATTCGCTAATTTATAAGAGTGAAACCTCATAATTAAAGTGCCACTATGATGAAATTCTCGATACCCAATTTTTCACATTTTCGTACACAATAGGTCTTTCCTAAATATCTTGGCAAATTTCAATCTATTGCGAACATTAGAACTCATCTTTTTTGGACCTTTATTTCTGAGAATTTACGGCCGCCATTAATTTTCCTTGTT